ATCTTTTTTGGAGGTGTTAACGAGCTAGTGGCCGAAGTCCTAGCAGCAACCCACAGTCCAACTCTCTGCAATCAAAGGAGTGCGGTTGCCCAGAAGTAAGTTTGTCTCCTGGCTTTCGTCTGCTTCACTATTCTAAACGCAACATTTCTTACCCCAATGAGGGAGCTACATTAGCAATAAGACTGCAATGGTTTTTGTGACATCGTCATGATGCGACTACTTATTACAGCGAGAGGGTCTTGTGGTGTTGTATCTTGTGTACCGTGCTTTCTTAGTAGCCTCCATACTTTGCTCGAACTCTTCTTTAACGTCTATAGGATCAGCATACTGACAGTAGATGACTCTGTTGTTTTTTATCAGGTGACCAGAGTCACGAGGAAGACGACATAGAGGACAACGCTTCTGGCCTTTGGCCATGGCTGAGGGAACAGTGAGGCCCAACTCGGCTATTGTAGCTAGCGCTCTCTTGGCTCGCTCTCCATCAATGGCTTTGCGCTCCTCATTCTCGGCTTTGGCCTCTCCGTTGTGGATCTCTTGTGCTTTTTCAGGACATTTCCCTCGAGGATGACCATCCTTTCCGAAAAGGCTACCGCAAGTTCGACACCTCGGCCTTTTCATGGCTCTCGCCTGAGGCTCTTCGTAGACCACCTGTACCACTTCCTCTGGCTTGGCATCAGCTACCGTCGTCTCGAGGAGGTCAGGAATGAGTGCTTCAGGCAAGTCGGAAGATTGGGTAGGTAAGACATTATGGACTGGTGTAGTGATAGCCATGGTCTTGTCGAGCTCATAGTTGATCTTCTGCGACTCTACAGTGAATACCCCGGCCTTCGCAGGGCTCTGTTGTAGTTGACGCTGTTGTTTCATCCATTTCAGAGCGTGGCCGTATGATACTGGTAGAAGTGCCGGAGGATTGTCATCGGAGTTCTCAAGGCGAAGGGCGACCCGGCGATTATACTCGGCTAGTGCTTCCCAGACAATGGAGGCCATAGACTTGCCTCCCGTTGAACATGTGAGTCGAGACCAAATGTCGATCCATATCTCCTTCATTTGCGGATTGAAGTCTGGTGGAACTTCTATGAGGGACCCCCCTAGACTCCGCCGTCTAGAAACGTTCCTCTTACTTGGTGTCTTTAGGGCTGCGAAGTCGTCCGACTTGTCTATCCATTTGCCCTCCACACCAGCCGACGTGATATAGTCTTGGCATAGACGTTGAGCAGCTTTGCTTGGCTCGCTGGCAGAGTCGGCAGGACTACCAGTAGACGACGAAGCCACGTTCCTACCAACTTCATGATGTGTGCCAACATCGAGGAGCTTGTCGAACTCATGATCCAGAGTTAGGAGACACTCGGCGTCGATGCAGTCGGGAATATCGAGAGGTACCGTGTCGCTGCTTGGCGCCTGAGTCGTCTCTTCCTCGTCATTTTCATTGTCCATATCAGTCTCCTCCGTAGGTATGACGTCGTCGTCTTGGTCTGGTTCTCCATCAAGCTCCTCCGAGGCATAGGGTACTTTAGTCACCGCTCTGGCATACTCGAAACCGAGAAGCAAGTTGGCCGAGGCTTCCTCTGGTGCAAGGCCTACTTCGCCTGGTAGCTCTACTGGTGCCACCCCGCATGGGATTGCCTTCCTACCGATATCTTTGAGCCTTCTCCGATTATAGTTGGCAACAAACCATGACGCCCGTGCATCAAAGACTTCGGTGCGGAAGTTGCGGAAGCTGGTGAAGCTCCTACTCAAGCAGCTATGTACCGCTTCGACCTTGCTTGTCCCCCTTAAGCTCCTATAGAGGGGGACTTTCTCGCCGGTATTCCTGTAATCTGTCTCTCCAACCTTACATAAGCGATGCCTTGGTCACTTACGCATCCATTTAGGATATGGATGCACTGGTTGATGATGGCCTTCTTCACTTTTCTTGTCACCAGAGGGTAGGCTGGTGATGCTGGAGTGATATCGTCGACTGGCATACCAGCTTTTATGCACTGCTCTCGTGCCTCAGCATCAAGTGCTATATTGGCCTTCATGACGAGTAGAATCTTGGCACACACTGTTTGTGGGTCACCAACAACTCGTCGAACAAAGCGGTATCTGTCGGAGCGTAGTTGCTCGCTAGTTAAGCTCAAGCCTGCCCGATCCCTTATTTCCTTCAGCCTACTCAAGTCTTCTTCCGAGTCCCGGAAGAGTGCTTGAGAGAGCTGCCTGAGAAACCGCTGCCGTCTGACATGCTCACCATTGACCTCTCGGCTAATGCGCATTAGCAGATGCATGGTATCTAACTTCTTGGTCACACCGCTATCCCAACTATCACTCGGTGGACAAGCCTTGGCAGTGCCATGAGGTTGGAGCTTTCCGGAGCAGCAGCCACAGTCGAGATAGACAACTGGTGGCCTGGCTTCCCCATGGCGTGACATTATTTCCTTCATGGCCTGCTCGATCCATCTACCCGAGGTATCCGGTACTACGAAATAGCCTAGTACAAGGCCAAAGTCCCCAATGACCGAGAAGCTCTGTGTACCAACGTCCGACTTGGAGGGGTCCTGTTTCGTTCTTCGTACCACTTTGGCCTGATGATCGAGGCTCAAGGCATACGTCGAGCGTAGAGCAGCTTGTTCTCGGCGGAGGTCGACTCGATGCTCATGGTAGTCTACGAGGAACGCCTGGAGAAGCGCCGGTGCCTTGGCGACAAACTCCTCGGGGAAGTCCCCGAAAGGTTCCGACGCCGAGATCAGCTTAAGTTGGAGCTTGTTGTGGACCTCGTTCTGGTACTCACTGCGCTGGAGGCCATACAAGCGAGAGAGGTTAGCTCGGATGGTGTCTTCGAGGGCTTTGGCCGCCATCCCCATCCTCAATGGAGTTATAAGACTCTTGCAGACACCGACTGATGCACCCGAGCTGATGAATGGTAACTTCTGCTGCAAGTGGTGTGGTAAGGACTTTGTGTACTTACGGTCGAAGGTCGTGCAGTGCGCGTTGCATTGGGTACACTTCAAGTCCAGCCCTTGGCCGAAGTAAGGCCAGTTCATAGTGTATACCATTTTCAGTTTGGATACCGCGTTGACTCGCAAACTTTTTTGCCCACACGTTGGGCATTCTCCACCGGTAGGCCCGTATAGAAAAAGATCGAGGATACCTTTGACACTCTTTGTGAAACCAGCTTGCCCTCGTATGTCACCCACAGTTAGTGGTAAGGGCTTAGTAGGGAAGGTGGTCTTTAGCGTAGTAGGTCTTGGTTCCCCGCCATCGTTTTCGAGCAACTTTTTATTAGTGTTGGCCTCGGGATCACCAGGGCTTGCACCATTCGCTTGTTTTGGTTGCGAAAGGCTGTGATATCCGCATTCACATCCGCGAACCTCCAAGGGGTTGAGAATGTGACGAGTACCGTAGGGGCACTTGATGATGTTCTGCATAACCACATACCACTTGGAACCCTTAGATGGGGCGCATCCTCGGGGCATGGCCTTTGCTTTAGAGGCAGCGAATGCGATCATATCCTTCTGCCAGACGGCGTCGGATTTCGGTCCTTTCGGCATGATAGTAAAAAGACTAAGCGCGAGATTCGAACTCACAACCACTCTCATGGTAAATAGACACACTATCCTACGGAACATCTTATCCTACGTGTTTGCTGTTGCGCAGGCTTTGTGCCTCAGGTGTGAAACGGTGCGCATGCGTGCTAGGGTAACCCAAGTCACAGGCATTATTTTGAGCTACATATAAGCGTGAAGCATCCATTTCCACTCCTTCTTCCCCTCCTTTCTTTCTTCTTTCCTTTTTTCTTCCTTCCTCCCCTTTTTCTCTCCCTCCCTTTTCCCCCCTCCTTGCAGGCGCTTTTGCCCCGGACCGAGCTAGGTCGTCAGACCTAGCTCGGTCCGGGTTGGGAGAGCAATCAATTGAATCCTCGGTCGGTCCTAGTTGGGAGAGCGTCAGACTGAAGATCTGGAGCTCCTCAGTTCGATCCTGGGTCTGGGCATATAGTTAGAGGCCGTGTAATACACGGTAGCATAACATTCACGTTGTGGCTTGTTTATTCCCAAAAGTACACGGCGAGCGTCAT